AAGAAAGAAAGAAAGAAAGAAAAGAAAAGAAAAGAAAAAAATATACATGGGAAATTTCAGAAATAAACAATTCATACATTTTAAGTAACAGAGTACTGCTAAGTTCTGTTTAAACATTGTTATTGTTAACCTCTTTCTGTGCCTAATTTATTTTTTTAATGTGCATGTATATAATTTTTATTTAATATATATTTAAGTTAATTTATTTATTATGAGGAAATGGTCCTGAACTTATGGAGGGTGACAAGATACAGGATCAGAACTTGGCAGGCTGAAAACCCAGGAAAGCCAGTGGTGCAGTTCAAAGGAAGCTGCCTAATTTATAAATTAAACTTTGTCATAGGTACGTATGTATAGAAAAAAAAAACATTGCGTATGTTTGGTACTGTCTGGTTTCAGGCATCCACTGGGGGTCTTAGGATGTATCCCTGTGGTTGACCTGAACTACTGTATTAGGAACTCACCTGTTGTTTACCGCATACAACGTTGGGGAAAAGTGGGTTCATGAGGTTTTTGCTGTTGGTTACTTTGCAGGTGAAGACAGGTTCTGAAGGTGACTGGCAAACTCACCCACTCATCCCCTAAATTCAGGAGTGGGGTAGTTAATTGGCATTGGTTGATGCCAGAGAGATTTCTAGAACTCTCTCTGATCCATTGCCTTTTTCTTGCCCTTGCAACACTTGTCTGCCCCTCATCCCCCAGTCCTCAGGGACTTTTTACTTCTTTGTCTGCCCAGAATCTTTTCTCTTAAAAAGTGAATGACTGTCAGTGCTCATTGGTTACTATTTTCAGGGGTGTTTGTGTTTGAATCAAATATGAAGAACCTTCATCAAAAGGAATTGATTTCTAGCTTTAGACTCTTAGGCATGGGCAAAACAGATAAGGTGTGTAATACGGGAAGAACCATATTGATGGTGGTGGGGGGGAATGATTTGGGGTAATGCTACCTCACGTTCCTGAAATTTTCTAGGCAAAAGATTGGCCTTGTGAGCCAGCTTATGAAAGAGGGAGCCAACTGTTTGCAGGTCATGAGACATGTGGATAGAATATTCTTGGAAAGGCCCTGGTGAGTTTGCAAACACTGGTCAGCCAGCAAGCTTCTGACTGATTCACCTTTTCAATCTGCATGCCTCAGGCTAGTTCCACGTTCTCTCTGCAGCATAAAGCCTCCCTCTAGCTCTGTCCCTCAGAACCCTTTCTCATCACTTTCTCTTTCACCTTCCTGGTCTTATACCACACTGCAATGCATGCCTGGTACCCCCCATATATAAGGTCCAAGGAAAGGATAATTGAAGGAAAGGAAAGAAGGCATGCTCAGAGCTGGGTTGTCAAATCCTAGTCACTCCAGATGTCAGTAGAAATCATCCTGTTCTGAGTGGCCTTACAGCTGGAAGCAATGGAGACACTCTAGGTTGTGGCAACTGGGAGAGGGTGCTACTGGCATTTAATGAGTAGAAGCCAGGGCTGCTGCTCAGCATTCTGCAATGCCCCCCACAGCAGAGCAGCAACCAGCCCAGGATGTCAATAGTGTAGGGTGGAGGAGCTGGTCTAAATGAAGATTGGAAGAGAGACCCCTGCTTAGATTTAAATGATTGCTGGCACCTGAGCAGTGTCTGGGGGCGGGGGTCATTCCTTATTCTCAGATCCACTAACTCCCTCAGTCCCTGAAATATTTCTAATTGTGTCTCTTCTCTAGCCCTTCAGAGGTAGATTCAGGTCTAAGCCTACATGTGACTGGATATTTTTCAGCATTTAGTGAATAATTCAGCACCAACTATGCTCTAAAAAGTAACAATTACAATGCAATAACTAAAATATTAGTGTTTATTGAAACTTGGCAGATATTGTGCTTAGCTTTTTATGTGAATTCTATCCCTTAATATTACACAGTTATTAGCATAATCCCAACCTACAGGTGCAGAAATCGAGGTTTAGGAAGAACCTTTGGTTTAGGTAGGACTCTTGGTTGACCGCAGATCACCTAGCTAGTAAGTAAATGGTGGAAATGCATTGCAAGCCCAGGCATGTGGATTCTGGGTTCCAAATTCCTACCCAACTAAACTTCCCAGGGAAAAGAACTTTATTCCTGAAATAAACTAAGAGGTCTAAATGTAGATATGGTACTTAACAGGAAATTTCATCCTGATGACCCAGTTTGATTCTAATGTCACAATTTACCTTGCAGGCTCCAAACTCCAGCTCAGAACAATGTGGCTTAAAGGCTGAGTTTTTTCACTCCAAATGAGGAGCTCCAGTTGACAAGTATCTCCAGTCTGCAGTCGCACCGTACACTGGCCCCAACCCAGGCATCCAGACTTTTGGCTTTGGCCAGTACCGAGGCCTTCGGACTGATTCCCCCACGAAACCCGTATTATTTGTGCGTTCAGGTCACAAGCATCTGTGTGAGGAGTGTTTGAGTGGAATCACTGCCCTCCAGGAGGCTAAGAGATGCCAAGAACCTTAACTCGCGGGGACTGCTGCACACTTAAAAGCTCTGCTCTCCCAACAGGGCTTGCGAACAACTGGCGCTCGCGAGCCACAAGGAGGCTACGTTTTTCTCCCGTTGCTCGCTAGGGCAGTGCACTGGAAATTGCAGAGCCTGTGTTCCGGGAGCAAGGCGGGAAAATGAAGCTCCAGGTGGAGGAAGCCAAGAGGAAGAAATTTACGCTTCCTGGGAAAAGTGAACCCGTGCGGAACTGGCGCGCCGCGGTCCATCTTTAGCTTCTGCGAGAAGCTGGAAACAGAAGAGACGCCTTTGCAGGGGGACAAACAGAAGGATGCGGGTTGTAGGTGGCAATTAGGGGTGTGTGTGTAGGGTTGAGGGCGGTGTTCCGTCTCTTTACATCCCTCCTAGCTGGGTTTCCCACCTTTCCTGCCCAACTCGGTTTCCTAGCAGGTCTGATACTGCAAGTCTGGTGGAGCGCTGTTGAGAGCCTGTACTAGGTGCAGAAAGACACTCCCTTCGGTGACCACCAGACCTACCTGACTTTAAGGGAGACTTTTGGAACAATTATGAATGAATATATTCCCTTATAGGTTGCTGGCAGCTGCTGCCAGCAATAGGTCATGCTGCCGTCAGCCCCCAAATCTCAGTAGACTAGTGGGTTTCACTAGAATTGAAGGACGAATAACTACACACACCGAAACTTAGGGCAGCGCGCCAGCAGCGCACAGCTCAGAAAGCATCAGAAGCATATAGTAACAAATCACAGGATTCTAATCACACTATACCCTAAGGCATTTGGTCTTCGTTTGGATTGGCATATTGTCCCCTCCTGGAAGGGTGGAAAATTAGCCTGGGGTGAGAATGAGGTTTAGTTTGCTGGAGGTGGGAGAGGGCAGAGAAGCGGGCGGGCGGTTCTCTTTGGTCTGGGGATCCGGGGCACAACCCAGGAGACTTTCTCCAGAAATAACCAAAAATGGGTTCACAAACCCACCCACTTTCTATGGGAACTAGAGAGACCTTTGCAGTCAGCTTGATTTGAAGGGAAAAGCAAAAGGTTTTAGAAATGAGTCCCACAAATGTTGAGCCATCTCAACTGGGGCGTCTTCCCAGCAGAAAGAGACGCGTTTGTTTGCTTTGTCTAGATATAAGGAGTCCGGAGCTCTTCAGGGTATGGTAAGAAAGCGGAGGATTTCTGCCGGGGGTGGGGTGTGGGGAAAAGACCCAGGTCGCAGAACAGTCTTCAGAAAGTGAGAACCTGGATCCGCTGTTTGATTCTCTAAGCTGCAGAAATACCTGCCCTTCCGTGGTTATGCGCTCTGGGGCTTAATCCCTGTACCTCCTTCTCCACGTCCATTCTAGCGCGCAAAAAGCCCCGCATATGTCTCAAAGGAGGATGGGGAGTGGATTCCCAGTCGTAGGGGGCTGTGGGAGATGGGGTGAGAACAAGAGGTCCCAGAGACACAAGGCTCAGTTTCTGCGTAGTCCTTCGAGGGGACTCCCCAGGGTCAGAGTTCTCGGAATTCTCGCCTGCAATGGTCGGGAACAGGGACCCAGCTAACAGAATTTGCTTCAAAACAAAGCAAGGGGGCCTTTCTGAGAGGGAGCGGCACCATACAGAAGACTAGGAATTTGTCTTTTATACTTATCAATCCGCGAGAGCAGCAAAGAACAAATTTCTTGCGCTCGCGGGGGAAAGGATAGGGCTGGAGATGTGGCTGGATCCCGGACTAGAGGCACTGCAGGGGTCGGGATCTCAAGGTGCAGCCTAAGGAGAGTTCCCTCCTCTGTTTCCAGCTCTGTTCTGTGCGCCTGGGCGCGTGCGGGCAGGCCATAAGGGGACACTGGAAAGCTCACCGGCTGGAACGAAAGGCAGGATCTCTGAGGGGCTGTGGGTGCTGGCTGAGTTGTAAAGTAAGAAGCCGGGCTCAGAACACCCTCCCACACACACAACCGCAACCCCAGCAGGGAGGCCCAGACCACTTCAGCGTCTGTCTAGTCCAGAGCAGAGGTCTTGAGGCTCACAGGCGCCGGCATTTCTAAGAAAAAAAAAGTTTATTTAAAATTTTGTACATAAATAAATAAATAAATATCTTCTGGTATTACAGAAACCGTACAATTACACAGCTAGGCCAGGGCGGGGCCGAGACCTGGGTGGAGGGGAAGGGAGGGGTCACCCGAGGCGGAGAGCCGGGGTCTAGGGTTTGGGGGAAATGCAGTGCATGTCGGAAACAAAATGAATCCTTTTCCTCACTAGGGTACCACAGGAGATAACTCTCCGTGGAGAGGAGTTTCGGGGACTCCGGACCTCAAGGCCTAATCAAGGGACAAATGAACTCACTGTTGGAGAAGGCTCCCTGAGGAGGGGAAGGAGAAAGGGCAAAGAAAACAAAAGTTCATAAATTGTGTGTGTGTGTGTGTGTGTGTGTGTGTGTGTTGTGGAGGGGCATGGATAAACAACTGCAGGAAAGAATTGGGAGAGAGAGATTTTTTAAAACGGGAAGCAAAAGGGCATCCGAGGAATGAAAGGCTGAACTTGACAGGGTGAAGAGTGGAGGAAGCGAGGAAGCCTGAGCCAGCCCATAGGGCAGGCGAGGAGGCGCCTACCACCAGCAAGGCGCTGGACAGGGCGGTATGGCGCCGGGGCTGACGCTGTAGGATGAGTCTGGAGTTCGCTTTGGACGCCCTTGGGGACCGGGATACCATCCTCGAGTCTCTGCTAAGTTCTCAGCTCTGCCCAGAGCTGGGGGTCTTGGCAAAGCCATGCCAAATCCGTGAGAGACAGTCGATTGGCAGCGGGTTCCTGGGAACCAGCGTTGCGTCCCAAGACTAGTCTTTCAGGCGCCGGGAGGTCTTGGGGTGGGCGGCCTAGAGGGACGAATGCCTAAGGAGTGACCGTAAGATCCCGGTCGTCCTTCCCAGAGGAGGACGGAGACATGGGCAATTCGTCGTCATCCTCTGAGCACTTGGCTGAGGAGAGCGACGCGCACTTGCAGCCTTGCGGTGCGCCCCCGCCGGCACCCGCAGCCGCACCGCCGGCGCTGCCGCGGTGGTTGCTGCCCTTGCCCTCCTTCTTGTGCTTCACCCGGCGGTTCTGAAACCAGATCTTCACCTGCTTCTCGGACAGATTCAGGTAGGTTGCGATCTCGATGCGGCGAAGGCGGGACAGGTACATATTGGAGGCGAATTCGCGCTCCAGCTCCAGCAGCTGCGTACTGGTGAACGCGGTCCGCATCCTCTTGCTGCTGGGCAGCTGGTTCGAGCTGCTGTCTAGAAGGGGTGGCGATGCAGAGAGGGAAGTGGTCAGACCCCCGCGTTGTGTGCCCAACTCCATGCTGGGTGATGGCTAGATTCCCGACCTTGGACTTTCACACACCCCTTCTCCCCAACTGTATCCGCAGCAGTGTGACCGCGCCTCCTTGCCAACCTGCAGGATCCTGATTCTCCAGGAGTCACTTGGCCCTGGTAGCCCTTTATGGAGCGCCCTGGACCTCAGCCCTCACATACCCCTTTGACGTCCCCTCCAGGACCAGGATCTTTCACCTCCTGCCCCGGTCTTCCCATCAGCCCACCACACTGAGCGCCCCCCTCAGGTCCCTGACAGGACACTCACCACCCCAGGATGCCCAGGGTCCCTCTTTCCCATCCCTCGCTCTCCAGCCTGCCTTGGATAACTCCTGCCCTGTCCCTCTGACCAGCGGCCCCTCTTACCCACGGAGATGCAGTGGAACTGCCGGGGATCCGGCAGCGGGTAGGAAGTCTGGTAGAGCGCGGCTGCTGCTGCAGCGGCGGCCGGACTGTGAGCGACCCCGGGCGACACGGCCGAGTGCTGGCGGCCAAGGGGCGCATGGCAGTACTGAGAGCCGAAGGGCGGGAAGGATGCTTTGAGCAGCGGCAGCGCGGGCGGCCCGGGGGGCCCGTGCAGCTGTGAGGCCGTGACGCAGAGAGGGCATACGCACAGCAGCCCGGCCTTGCGCGCGTGGCAAGCGCCGGGAGAGAGACCGTGCAGCGCGTGCGGCGGGGGAACCGCGTAGGGAAAGAGCGGCGGCGGACTGCCCTCGGGCGCCTTCTTCTCGCCTGCTTCGCGCAGCACCAGAGAGTCCACAAGGAAAGAGCGCGGCATGGCCTCGGCGCGCCGCCGCCCCGCCACCAGCCCTCCCCTTGCGCTCGCCGGACCTCCGGGCTCTCCACGAGCTTCCTCCGGCCGCGGCCGCTTGCAGCTGCCTCCTCTGGGGAGGCTGAAGGCGCAGCCCAGGCCCAGGCTGAAACGGCCGCCTCTGCTGCCGCGGGCGCCGCCCAAAGAGCGCGGGGTGCTGGCCAGCGCTAGTGGTGCTGAAAGGCGCCGGCGGCGCCGCTTAAATAGGACTATTGCCATGTGATGGGCTACGCCAGGAGCGGCCGGGGCCTCTCAATAGGGTTTTTGTGCCTTTTCTCTTGGCATTCACTCTGCACGCTTCCTCATTATTTCACTTGTTAACTAAATGAACTGCATAATGTACTCTATTCTTGTCAACCCCACCCACGCCGTAACAGGCGCCCTCGCCCCCTCCTCTTCCTTTTGCGGGTTTATTTTCTCATTCTCCCGCGATTTAATATTCTTTTCTTTCTCTTTATTCCTTACTCCCCTTTGGCTCTGCAATGGCTATTGGTCCATTTGTCTTATTGATTTTGCACCCCCGCTGCCTCGCTTCCCCAGATCCCCATGGGTGCACACTCGCAGGTCCTCGGCCCCCTCGATCCTAGTCCCCTTCTTTCTGTTATCTCTTCCTGCCCCCCTCCCGCCAGCGTGATGCTTCCACTCAGTTCTCCTAGCTCAACTCTATGCATCCTGCGAGCGTCCTTGCAGCTGCCTTCCGATTTCCACCTGTGGAATCCCTTCTTTTCTCCCTGTGTCGGAAGCAGGAGGACAGGGTTCCTGCGTGGGGGAGGCACTTCTAGGGAGGGAGAGGAACGGCTCGCAATTCCTCATCCATTGCTAGCTCCATCACTGTCCCTCTGTTTCCTCCGAGTTTGTCAAATGGTCCTAACTTTGGTGCTGCCTACAACGCCCAGTCTTTGTTCCGAGGATCCTGGCCAACCAGCCCTTTCTGTCAAACAACAGGGCTATGGAAGTAAACTAAAATAAAATAGGAGAAAGAAAGGGGGGGCACTCGCTGAGAGCCACGGACTGAGATGGGGAGTGGAAGCCTAGATCGCGCACATCGCGATCCCACACCCCCATCAAATGTGACAAGTATGGGCAGTCTCTGCCTGAGCGGATCTTGTGGACGCCCTCTCCATTCGCTCACACTTCAGTAGACCCCCTTGTGCCCTCAAAACCATTGCCTTCCCACAATTCGGAGCGGAGCAAAAGGCAGTTGTTCTTCCAGCTTGGACTGCCTTCGCCCACTCTGACTGAGCTCCCCTCTCCCGAGTCCCAGCTCCTTCCTCCTGCCGTCGCTCTCTTCTTTCTGGTCGCACAATGGTTAAACAACTTGAAAGCCTGGCGGTGTGTACACAGCTTCAGCTTTTAAAATCATCCTCGGGCTCAAAGCTGTTTCTTTCAGGAGCTTTTATCATACAATGGGAAATTAGCAGACATATTTCGAATTTACTTCCTTTGGGCCTTTTCACCAGAAACGTTTACTTTCGATTTTATTAGAACCAAATCGCTGCAGTCACCTGCTCTGAACCTTGAATGGCATTGTGAGAAGCTTTCTGGAGGGGGTAAGATCAGTGCACAGGACTAAGACTGCCCAGACCCAAAGTGCCTGCGTAGGTTTTTTAAATCGTTGATGCCATCTTTACTATTACAACAGCAACAAATTATAACTGATTAAAAAAGCAAACTGAATTTGTTATGGAAGGGGCGGGAAAAACCCCACCTGCTTCAATAAAGGGAGAGGGGCAATGGTAAAAATAACCTGCATGAAGGGCGTGTCATCTAGCGGGAGTAGGGAGGGGTTCAATGTTTCCTTGCTTGCTTGGCATGGGTGCCCCCCCTCCCCATGCCATGGTCTCGGTCCCAAGGTTCCTACAAACCAGCCGGAACGCATCAATGCAGACAAATTCCCGTTCTAATTGCTCTCTGGGAAATTTGGGCCGAGCTGCGCCGCTGAGAGCAAGGCAAGAGCGGGGACCAGGCTCCGAGCCGGGCTCCCCGCTGGGTTGAGGCGGCTTTGAGAGGAGCGGGTGGCAGACCCGGCCTGGGAGTAAATGGGGCAGTCGCTGAGCTCCAGAGCTGGGAGCCCGCGAGGGGACAGTGCGGAGCTCTCCTGGGAGTCACCCCGTGCTCCCGGGGATGAAGGGGTTAAGAGCCCCTGAATGCGAGCAAGGCCAAAGCTACTGGGAAAAAATATGGGGGGGGGGAATAACCAGTTTTCCCCCCTCTCCCTCCAGCCTCTGGACCTTATTGAATGTCATTGAAGAAAGTTTTGAATGCCAGATAAAGAGAGGCGAATTAAAGTGTGTGACAGCGGAGGATAAGCAAACACAAAGAGAACTCTGTCACACTTTGGGGCAAAATCCGTGGGCTTTTTACCAAGTCTCTTCGCTATGATTGAATTAAGTAATAGGAAAACATTTTCTTTCAGTTTAGAGCCATTAGACAAAAACTTCAAAGCGAATAACACTTTTTAATGTGCTGCCCCACAATAGATCGGGTTTTGTGCTGAAATGTTTAAATGGTTTGTTGTGCAACTCGGCGCTGGAGAGAACCGGGCCCAAGCAAAATAGCATCCTTGAGAGTGTTTTCGGCGCCTTGGAACCAAGGCGCACTTAATCCGCCACCTCTAAACCCGGTGGGCTACAGCCGGAAAGGGGGCTCCTTGTTCACCGCCCGGGACAGCCGACCGCGCCCAGGAATGTGCCTGTTTCAGGGAAGTTCTGCATTCGTCCAGGACTGAAGTCCATCTCTGGCTGCAGGCCCAGAGCCCGGGCAGGTGCTGAGATGCACCGGCGGCAGGGAGCTGGGAGCCGCCCTGCGCCCCAACCCTATGGCCTCTGCCCGCCGCCTGGTTTCCGGGGGTCACCGCCTGCGTTCTCTCCCGCAGACGCGCAGCTTTTCTGTTGAAAGCGCCTCCCAGGGCTCGCTTTAGCCGGGTTTGAACTTTACTCACCCGAGCAAACGCCCCCTAGGGCGGGGCGGGGTGGGAGGAGGAGGCGGCGGGATTAGCCTGACAGCCCCAGAGAGGGGCCCCGGGGAGCCTTAGGGCTCGGCCGCCAAAGCTGGTTTTCAAGTGTCCATCAGGGACAGTTCAACATGGAATAATTTCTGTTGTCCCGGGCTTTTCTTCTGCTACACTGTGTCCTTCCTTTTCCTGCTGGTAGAGCGAATACACCACTTTCCTACTGCCATTGTGGATCTAAGAGATTTGAAACACTGTACAAATGGCACAGTGATGATGCTGTCTGTTTCCTTTACATCTTTCTTCAAATGCCATTTTCCTCCTCAGGGAGGCCAACGACCTTATTTAAAATATCATTCTTCTTCCTCCATATTCTGCCTGGTTCCTTGCTTTGTAAGCACCTTCAATGTCTATGTCTTTGGTTTATTTGTTTTTTCCCCACCCGTGAAATACATACTCTGTGAGAGCCAGGTGTGTGTGTGTGTGTGCGTGTGTGTGTGTGTGTGTGTCTGTTGTTCGTTGCTATATCTCAGAAAAGTTCCTGGCACATAGTAGGTGCTCAGTATATGTTGACTGAATGAATAAGTAAATGAGAGAGACCTAACTCAGGAGGTGGAATAGCCAGGAGGACTTCATGGTGTGCCTGCTTAATGAACCCAGGCACTTAGGAGCTGACATGGCGTAACTGATGGGGTGAGACTCTGGAGGTCAAGAGCAGTCTTAATCTCTCCCAGTTCCTCTACACCCCCAGGGGCTGGAACGTCACAGGAGTTCAATGTGATGGCAGGCAGTAAGCCAGTCTGTGGGTCCCCAGCCCCCCAAAGGTGGGTTCTCATAGAGTCAGGATAGTCCTACTGAAGGCAGTTTCAGTATCCCGCTCTGAAGAAGTTGGATGAACCCACTGGTAGCTCAAGGTTAGGGGTTGTCATTAAGGTCTTTTGTGGTATATAAGGGATTGATTGGAAAAAAAAAGAAGAAATTGGCTATATGCCCTGAAATTATCAGTAACCATTTCTACTTGTTCTGGCTGAAGGCAATGGAGTAGGAATTCTTGTTGTCAAGAAAGTAACTGCTCCCCCGACCGCCAGGGATTCAGATAACTTTCCCAGGAGAGAGAAAGCAAGCTGTTTAAATAAGCACAGGAGCAGAAAGTCTGGTGTGCCAGGGAATGCTGAATGGATCTGGGAGCCAAAAGTGGAAGGTGTCCAAGGAAGGGGCAGAGGAGTAGTGGCTACACAAGTGTGCACAGGAGGTGGCAGCGAAGTCATGAAGGACCATGCAAACAGGTTTGGGTTAGAGCCAACATTTGTAAGCAAGAGGGATTATGGAGTCATATCTGATTTTGAGAAGTATCACTGGAGGTTCTATTGGAGTGAGAGGCCAGAGCACAGTCCACAGAGTTGGCCTGGGGAGTAATATTTATTAAATTATTAAATGAACAAAGATAGGGGAAGAAGCAAGGAGAAGATTATATAAGTTCAAGTGAATGGATGATGGCCACCTGAACTGGAATGGGGACAGCAGGACCAAAAAAACTAAATATTGAGAGAGTTCAAAGGGGCCAACTGGGATGTGTATGCCATGTGTGCACATGCACATGCATGTATTCAGGTGTGCATGCCTTAGAGGGCAAAGGCATGAAAGAGAGAGAAACTTAATACTTAATATAAACTTAATATAGGTAAGTGGTGACATTAAAGGCAAAGACAGGGAACTTAAGGGTAGGACCTACTTTTGTTTTGGGGGATGTGCAACATTGTCTGATTCAAATGTGTTGCATTTTAATCTTTAACCTCAGGAAAAATGTGTCTAGAGTTGAATAGAGAGATTAGAGATAGAGATTTAGAACTTATGTATGCAAAAATGATAGCTTTAGTCTTAGGATGGATAGGGTAGGAAGGGACTATAGAGAAAACACAGGATTGTAGATGCAACCCTGGGTAACACCTACATTTAAGGAAGCAAGTGGAGGGAGGATTCCCTGCAAAATAGATAAATAAGACAACCATAGGTAAAA